GATGCATTACAGTTGATTACGATCACTGTTGATGACATGGCAACATGGTATTCATGGGGGACATCAAAGTCATCGACATCCACATTCAGAGGCGATCATGTCCTCGTGATGGCGCACAACCACTTCGCCATCCTCTACGTACATCATACTGAGAGGTTCCAGTTTAGTGGGGACGCAACAAGGGGCGGGTGCAACTTTGGAACGTTTGCTCCTCATGAGTGACTGCAACATGGCGTGGTTGGTGGGTTTCAATCGCATATCGATAGGGGAGGGACAGTTTCCGTAACAGAATTTGGAGTTGAAGCGTGTAGGGTGGATGATCCACTGTCCCCAGCCGATTGTTGTGAAATCCACTTCAAAGTCGTACAGACGACAGCTTTGTTTCTTCCCTGATTTCTTCCATCTTCTGTTCTTCTGTTGTCGACCTCTATTTGTGCCACGGATCGATCTTTTACCACGTGTTGCCATATTACCTAATCCCTCGGAAGCAGAATGCTCTTTGAGTTTGTAAGTATCCAAAAGTCTATTAAGGAAGTCGCGATTTTCCAAATAAAACACAAATAAGTAGCCATGAGATGCGGGTGTTGTTTTGGAAAGAGTACTGGTGAATGTGCGTGGAATTTCTATGTGAATGGTGACCTCCCCCTTTGTAATCGCTGAACCAGGCAGTGAGTGCTCGACTTATGTCAAATACCAAATATTCACCCTGGGTAAAAGGTTGGACCATTATGTACACTTTTCGTGCGACATTGGGTCCCTTGAAAAAGATGACCTTGACCCTGTACTTCTTTAAAGGGAGGGCAGTGCGTTTGCACCGGAACTCGGCTAATCGGAGATGCTCATTCTTGGGCAGACCTGGGATCTTGAATGATAACTCAAGTCTCTTTCTTACAATCTTTTGTGTTATACCTGAAATGAAACATATATGTCATGAAGAGATAAAATGTACACACAAAACATTTTCATGAAGAATATTCTTGTAATGAATACTGAAGGTTTGGGATCCATTTATAAAAATTCCATCACGTTTTCACCTTCAGAACCTTATGGAATTGTATCTGTAAGCAATCGACACTCTTTGCTTGCCTTAATGTGCGGAATTTCTGACTTTTTCATTCTTTGGGTTAAAAGTTACATGTGCATTGACCCTTGGTTAAAGTTTACCTTTAGCAGTGAAGCTCCTGATGGTGTCAGCTTTCTCGAAATCAGCTGTGTTCCGATTTCTGCCTGCCGCTCTTGCAAGTGGCATCCCTTTTTGAAGAATGTTAAACATTTGTAGCATAAATTGTGTTGAAGGCGTTTGATAATCAACTGGATGACTCAAACTTAGAAGTTCTCCAAGAGGTCTTTCCCCATTCTGATAAGCATCAGTTTGGACTCCAACATCCTGGGTTAGCATTTGTTGGGAAAAATCTAGACCTCGTCCTCCAGCGTTTCCCACACATATTAAGAAGAAAATTGTCATTTTAAATGGTGCCATTTTCAGACAGTTAGATAGATATTTTGCTGTGTAACTGAAGAATGCAGCAATGCAAGTGACCATGTTACATCTCCCGTTTATCGTTATATACCAGGTCCAACTACTTGTGTACACAAGATAAGTGGTCTTACAATGACCGGGTGTTGGCGAGGTGTTCATATTGCTTAAGGCAAGGGGTTATAATCTGCTTTAAAGAAAGGTGGTCGCGTGTATTATGTGTAACTGTACGCTCTTTATATGTAAAACATGTACCTGCTACATCAAGATCTTGCCTGGCGCTACTGTGACTCGACAGATATATATTGCGAAAGAATATTTGGAAAAATAGGAAGTCGATTATTTTTCCCTAGTTTTAATCACGGACTTCATGAATACATTCTGTAATATACCAATATGTGACTTGTCTGCTGTGGTATAGAACTTACATTCTCCAACATTTACGTGGTTATAATGAGCCGTGCTACCATTAGATTCAACTACGTTTTCATCATCCAGTCAAACAGCACAACTAACACTAATCGTGTAATCAGTATCTATTTCTTTGTAACAACTCCCGGAACCTAGCTTTGTATGCTACTTAAACTCAAGGCCTATGGATGTTTACAGTTCATCAACGAGAGATGTCTTTCATCTTGATAGATACATACTTTTTTCGATATTCACTTCCCAGACAAGGGCTATCACGCTTCTTCCACGGTAACAAGTCCGTCTCCCTGTCTCATTTCACTGTCGAACAATCACTGTCTGATCCTGTCTGCTGGATCACACTCATCCCGTTAATCTCAGCTACTTGTTAGATTACTTTAAGAAAACACCTCGTCAGCGTTTAGAGTGATCGATTACACGCCTCGCTGAATATTCGTTAAAACCATTCTTGTATTGTTCATTTCACGGTTCCATTGTACTGCTATTATTATGAACACATATTCTCTTAGTATGCAAATCTCAAGTTAAGCAGAATAGGTATAAGAATATTCCATATTCGCCATAATATTTCTGAACTACAATACTGCAATATTGTCAGCTGTCTTTTTTCATGTTGTAACTTTCTGCAATACACTGTGTTCGTTGCATCCTCGCCAAAGATATCGATGGGTAACAATGAATGATGAATTTCAAGAAGTTAAGCTCACGAAACTTGTTAGAAAACTACCGTGCTCAACCCAGCAACATTTTCCACTGTTTTATCCGGATAAAACATGTTCGAATAGGAGATTATCTATCATCAAAACATCATAAAGATCAAGTGTTTTAATCCTCCTCCACAAAGTGGATATCAGCTTCTTCTCATGCCTTGGTGCAGCAACGACTCTGACGACGTCGCCATGTCAGACAACAAACTGGGCGTCAGTATGTTAGTATGTCTCCCGGTTTATTTTATCATTATTGCTTTGTTGCCTTGTGAGCTTCCAACAGTTGAAAATTGTTACCATTGAAGTGGCATTATCTGCTTTTGTGTTAAATAAATAATGAGCACATCTGCAGTTGTTCTTGAAAATCATGACTTTTCTTATTGGCTTTATTGGAATTCAAAAAGGGATTGAAAGTGTAAGCTATTCATTAATGGCTTGGAGAGACAACCCTTGAATATACTGAAGACTACTGTCAATGTCATTATTTTGTTTTCCATTCATAATACTTAGTCAAAGTGTACTTTCAAAATGAATATATTAGGCAAATTAGATGGGAAGTACTCAAGGAAGACATGTGTAAATAGGTATAATATAATAGGTATGCGTTGTAACCATTTCAGTCAAACTATATACATGTATTACTTTTCAGAGAGTAGAGGTGTGCATGGGGAAACAAAAGGAATCCTTTTATCCTTATATGAATAGCAATTTCCGGACGACTTTACAAGAAACAGCGCCATCTAGGAAGAGAACGTTTTACCGAACACAAGTATGCTGCCAACAATGTTTGATCTTTGATTAATTCTGTCGAATATCGCCAACGCCACACTCGTTGACACACGCACACGTATATGTATAGAGATAAACACGACCAGTATATGTCGCGAGAAAATCAATAAATGCTTATGAACACATGTTTTCCTTTATACATTTTGCTTGCTGTAGCCATAAGTCACATTTGCTGGTAGCTTCTTTATCAATCTCCTTTATATCAAACGCATGCAACTACTTTACACTAATCAGATTATCATGATAGTTTTACATTTCAATTGTGTTTTCTAATTCTTTGAGCATCTCGTGACACAACTGAGGAGCGTGTCTTTTCTAGTCATGACACATAGAGCCAGTAACAGTATTCTTATGCATGCAATGCAATGTATTTTACAGACAAAATCGATTTACTTTTGGAAGCTTTAAGAAAGAATGGGAAGAATCAATACTTCAAGTAAACGTTCCCACTTGGGGAAAAGTCATTTCAGTTGACATGCAACCACAAACAATCGCTGGTGATGTGAGACTGGTGAATGGTAACGTGCAATCTAACGTTGTCCGACTATACTTTTTCCTTTACTTTGTAGAGTAATTTCCTTGTACTGATTAGTTGCATGTGGCATATTCAATGGCGTATATTGTTCTGTATGGGACATGATACAAGAAAGACAGTGTCAAATATTGTAACATTTATTACAGAAACATCTATTTCTTTACACGAATCAAATCAGTATGTACAAATAAGCACCATTGTATATTTCCATATCACAGTTTAAATGGGTCATGCGAAGGTGTCATAGCACAGATTAGATGCATTACAGTTGATTACGATCACTGTTGATGACATGGCAACATGGTATTCATGGGGGACATCAAAGTCATCGACATCCACATTCAGAGGCGATCATGTCCTCGTGATGGCGCACAACCACTTCGCCATCCTCTACGTACATCATACTGAGAGGTTCCAGTTTAGTGGGGACGCAACAAGGGGCGGGTGCAACTTTGGAACGTTTGCTCCTCATGAGTGACTGCAACATGGCGTGGTTGGTGGGTTTCAATCGCATATCGATAGAGGAGGGACAGCTTCCGTAACAGAATTTGGAGTTGAAGCGTGTAGGGTGGATGATCCACTGTCCCCAGCCGATTGTTGTGAAATCCACTTCAAAGTCGTACAGACGACAGCTTTGTTTCTTCCCTGATTTCTTCCATCTTCTGTTCTTCTGTTGTCGACCTCTATTTGTGCCACGGATCGATCTTTTACCACGTGTTGCCATATTACCTAATCCCTCGAAAGCAGAATGCTCTTTGAGTTTGTAAGTATCCAAAAGTCTTTTAAGGAAGTCGCGATTTTCCAAATAAAACACAAATAAGTAGCCATGAGATGCGGGTGTTGTTTTGGAAAGAGTACTGGTGAATGTGCGTGGAATTTCTATGTGAATGGTGACCTCCCCTTTGTAATCGCTGAACCAGGCAGTGAGTGCTCGACTTATGTCAAATACCAAATATTCACCCTGGGTAAAAGGTTGGACCATTATGTACACTTTTCGTGCGACATTGGGTCCCTTGAAAAAGATGACCTTGACCCTGTACTTCTTTAAAGGGAGGGCAGTGCGTTTGCACCGGAACTCGGCTAATCGGAGATGCTCATTCTTGGGCAGACCTGGGATCTTGAATGATAACTCAAGTCTCTTTCTTACAATCTTTTGTGTTATATCTGAAATGAAACATATATGGCATGAAGAGATAAAATGTACACACAAAACATTTTCATGAAGAATATTCTTGTAATGAATACTGAAGGTTTGGGATCCATTTATAAAAATTCCATCACGTTTTCACCTTCAGAACCTTATGGAATTGTATCTGTAAGCAATCGACACTCTTTGCTTGCCTTAATGTGCGGAATTTCTGACTTTTTCATTCTTTGGGTTAAAAGTTACATGTGCATTGACCCTTGGTTAAAGTTTACCTTTAGCAGTGAAGCTCCTGATGGTGTCAGCTTTCTCGAAATCAGCTGTGTTCCGATTTCTGCCTGCCGCTCTTGCAAGTGGCATCCCTTTTTTGAAGAATGTTAAACATTTGTAGCATAAATTGTGTTGAAGGCGTTTGATAATCAACTGGATGACTCAAACTTAGAAGTTCTCCAAGAGGTCTTTCCCCATTCTGATAAGCATCAGTTTGGACTCCAACATCCTGGGTTAGCATTTGTTGGGAAAAATCTAGACCTCGTCCTCCAGCGTTTCCCACACATATTAAGAAGAAAATTGTCATTTTAAATGGTGCCATTTTCAGACAGTTAGATAGATATTTTGCTGTGTAACTGAAGAATGCAGCAATGCAAGTGACCATGTTACATCTCCCGTTTATCGTTATATACCAGGTCCAACTACTTGTGTACACAAGATAAGTGGTCTTACAATGACCGGGTGTTGGCGAGGTGTTCATATTGCTTAAGGCAAGGGGTTATAATCTGCTTTAAAGAAAGGTGGTCGCGTGTATTATGTGTAACTGTACGCTCTTTATATGTAAAACATGTACCTGCTACATCAAGATCTTGCCTGGCGCTACTGTGACTCGACAGATATATATTGCGAAAGAATATTTGGAAAAATAGGAAGTCGATTATTTTTCCCTAGTTTTAATCACGGACTTCATGAATACATTCTGTAATATACCAATATGTGACTTGTCTGCTGTGGTATAGAACTTACATTCTCCAACATTTACGTGGTTATAATGAGCCGTGCTACCATTAGATTCAACTACGTTTTCATCATCCAGTCAAACAGCACAACTAACACTAATCGTGTAATCAGTATGTATTTCTTTGTAACAACTCCCGGAACCTAGCTTTGTATGCTACTTAAACTCAAGGCCTATGGATGTTTACAGTTCATCAACGAGAGATGTCTTTCATCTTGATAGATACATACTTTTTTCGATATTCACTTCCCAGACAAGGGCTATCACGCTTCTTCCACGGTAACAAGTCCGTCTCCCTGTCTCATTTCA